CCTGCCCCGCCACGTCCTGCGCCCGTCGGGCGGTGCCGCCCTCGGTGCTCCCCGCCCGCGGCTTGCGAGGCCGCGCAGGGCTGCGGGCAGGGGCCGGCGCCGGCCAAAACTCTCCCAGAGGAGGCTCCATCCAGCCCCCGCTGACCGGCCCTGTCTCTCCGCCCCGCGCCGCCGTTGGCTCCCCGGAGGCCGCTCCGCGGAGGCTCCCTGCCCGCTCTAGGGGGACGCTCCGACCCGAGGGTGCGGCTCGGCCTGCGGAGCGTTCAGGGGTGAGTCCGGCCGCAGGGTTAGAGGAGTGAGCCCCCGCTCACCCCGGCCTCAGAGTCTTCTGCACAATAACCTTCTGTTCCTTACAGCGTTCTTCCCCGCCCAGTGGAGAGCAAAGATGGAAGAAAGGAGAGATCTGGTGGCACAGAGAAGAGATGGCCCTGCACATAGTGGGAATGCAGAACAAGACGTGCCTGTGTGGTGCGTTTTGAAGCCCGTGGTGCTTCTCGTGTCCCAGGCCAAGTTCCTGCAGCAGGACCAGGCTGAGCATGCAGCACCTCGAGATGTGCCCTTACAGTCACCTACTGCACCACCAGGGACAGCACAATGGCAGCAGTGGCTTTGAGTCACCATCCTGGAGCCGTGCCCTGTCCTTTCACCCAAGGACCCTGGCCGCTGACTTTCTGTACTGCTAAAATTGGCTCTGTGGGAATTTTGTTGGGGCTGAGTCTCCACACTGGGCCAACCACACCCTTGAAGTCCTGGGCCCCGTTGTGTGGGGGTGAGGAGGGATGCCGAGCGGTCTTGCACAACCCGAATAGTCATGCCGAAGCTGCTGTCTGCGTAAGCTCATGAAGTGCTTCTTCTCTTTACTGAAACACATGTTCCTTCTGCAGATGGATTTCTGTGAACTGGCACTCCAGTGCAGCACTGGGGCTGGCTGGGGGAAGGCTGAGGCTATGAGGCTGGGGCAAGGAGACCTATGGGGACTGTGGCTGTCACATCCAGTGTGCTTCCCTAAATCAGCAATGCCACCATGGCATTGTACCAGCACCTGCAGAGCCTGGACATTGGCTTGATGCTCTTACATGGGAGGGCAACTGGAACCCCCCAGAGCAGCATTCTGTACTGTGACAGAGATGCAGGTGTGTGCACAACAGGCTGGGGAAAAGAGCCGTGCTTTGGGCTCTTGCTCACTCCTTCCTTCTCTCAGATTATGGATGGGTCAGTCCAAGGTGACACATTAAGCTCTGTGGAGGGAGAGCTGCAGCAAATGGAGGGGGATTTGACTGGGACATGAAGAATTAGTTTACATTGAATCCCATTCTCATGCATGCAACTGTGGCATTAACATTTCTGTAAGGGAAAAGTGCGTTCCAGATCCAGCACAGACACTCTGGTCACAATCTCCATCCCAGGCCAGGAGAAACAGGAAGAGGTAGATGCAAGGAGACAGTAAGCTGAGCAGAAACTCAAGTTTTTGGAAGAATGCAGGGAAGCTTTCAGCTCTAGAAATGAAACCCAGAGCTGCAGGGAGGTTGCACCTGTAGTGCAGTGTGGAGAGGTGGGAACAGGGCAGTGGGCTGTCAGCATGAGGACAGCATTCCAGTGTGCTGGGGAGGTCAAGCAGCACGTGTTCAACCTCCTGCTCTTGTCTGGCAGTCAAAGTGACTTGTGGCTTTTCCCACAGTAACCACTTGTTTTCAAGTGTTTCCAGCCTGGCTTCAACCCCAGGCAGCTGAGCAGTTTGCTGGGGTAATGGACCTATGTGACCCTTTGACTCTGGTGCTCAGCACATTAAGAACAAGCCCCTGTTTCACCAGCCTCAACATTAAACTGGGGAGTGTGGCCTCTGAGGCACTGCAGACTGAAACCCTTGTGCCCAGAATGAACGTGCTTTCTGGGATGGGGTCAGGCACCCCTGCTGCAGCATTTTTGCACAGCTCAGCCCATGCCTGGGCTGTGGGGCAGGGGTTGCCTTGGAAGGCCAGGCCTGGGGCTGGTGTCACACACCCCCTGGACAGGCCGTGCTTGTCAGCATCCGGCCACTGGTGTCAGTGCTCCAGCTTCCCCTGTGATGTTGCCCTGGGTGTTCCTGCACTCTACCCTTTTCTTAAGCTTGCAAAACCCCAGTGCCTGCAGAGGCATCATCCTTTCAGCCTGGGGCAGAGGTAAAACCCACATGATCCGGGAAATGAGAACAGTGGACGAAGGGTGTTGCCCACCCTCATCCTTTCCACATCAGCTGAGGCTGACAGAGCATAGTGGGCAGGAAGGATGTACAGACCAGCAGTCTTGTGGGGTCTGGCTCAAAGATCAGCTTTGCAGAGGAAACAGGGACACTGTCACCAACCACAAAAACCAGGATCAGCCCCAAACCACAGTCTGTGGGGCAGAGCCATGGAAGGGCAGCTGCACAGCCCAGCAAGAGCAAGGGGAGCTGGAAAAAGAGGAGATAGTGGCTGAGGGGGAGTGTAAGCAGAGGGATAAGAAGATCCACTTCTTGGACAATCGCTGCATCTCAGGAGGGACATTGCAAGAGCTTCTGCAAGCACTCCTTCCTCCCTGTTCAGGCAGAGTGCTGCAAGAGAGGCACCCTCTGAGATGTCAGTGTCAGACCCTGCCTTGGCTACCAGACAAAGGGCATAGGGAGGGTGCAGGGCCCAGTCTGGCTCTTGATAGCAGCCTCAGTTTCTGCTCTGATCAATACAGCAAGGAGGGGCTGGGCCCTGCTATGACTGCCTCTGCTTCCAGGGACAGTGGCAGTATGGCAGGTAGTGGGACTGGGTGCCCTGGGTGTTTTTTCTGTGGGGTGACATGGACAATACCTGGCTGGTGCTTGGCAGCAGGACCACCCTCTCCAAACAGGGCTGAGCAGGCAGCACTGCAGGTAGGCAGCACACATCCCCAGCAGTAAACATGATCTTCTCAAATTAAACAACTTGTCTGGCACTGGGACAGGGAGCAGACAACTCTATTAGGGACTGTCCTGATACAGGACAGCTCCATAACTAGCTCAATACCCTTCTTCTGATAACACACAGAGGCACACTCCATTGCAGGAGCACAAAGGGCAATGACCATGCCCTCCAACACAGGCTGAGCAAAGGCTGAGATGGCTTTAAAATGTTTTTTTTCCTTCCCTTTTATCCCCCCAGTTGATTATGCAGCACAGTGGGAGTGGGAGTTACACAGCACAGCCCCGGCTCACCTCTCATGCTATGGTATCCTTCACAGTTCCTGGGTACTCACTTCTGCCAGCACCATGCACGGCATTTGAGCCCAGCCTGTGTTGGCTGCTCTTCCCCTGCCTGCCAAACTGAAGGGCAGCCCACAGGGAAGGGCTTTACACAGGCCCCAGACACTGCTCTGTATGCTGGGTAAGGACCACTGGCACCTTGGAGGGATGAAGCTGGCTAAACAGATCCATGACTCTTGAGGAACATGTGCCTTTTGCTGCTACATCTCACATCCCCTGGAGATGGGGCCAGCAGGGATATTCTGCTAGAAATAAATGACCAGTCACTCCAGTCAGTAGGATTTGCTAGTTCAACACAGTGCAAGGGGGCTGACAGTTAACCCACAAGCTATGTATGCTCAAGGCCGTACTGCTTTAGAGGGCAGAGAGATGCAGCAGGAAGCACTGAAATAGCCAAACCCATGACTGAAGGCATAATTTTCATTGATAACAGCAGAATAAAGCAGGGCTGGTATGTGGCTGTGGAAAAGTGGTGGAAGCTTCAGGCTCACAGCAATGGCCTGCCTGCAGCCTGCCTCTAGAGCCCCACGGCCACCCCAGCCTGGGAATCCTTTCAGCTACGTACACCTTGAGAAGAGGCTGCTACAGGCAAACACAGGCAGGGAAACAGAGGTTGAGACTAGCCTTGCTCTGTGCTAGCAGCTGAGTGCTGGAGCCAAGTGCACCAAGAAAAGGAGAAGGGGCAAAATCCAGATTGTTTAAGAGCACAGCTGGGGGACTGCATAATCAAAACTGAGACAGGCAGAAGGTATCTGCAGCTGGTTCAATATATATTCCACCTAGCTGCAAACCCCAGCTGTCCTATCCAGCCCCAGTTCCCACACAGCCATCAGTGGGCTGGCTGCAGTGCTGGAGGGTGGAGTGTGTCAGGGGAGCCCTTGCACACACCCAGCTGATGCAAGGAGACCAGTTAATGTAATCACTGCACCAGGTGCAAGAGGCCCTACAGCAAAGCATTTGTGATCATGGAGTAAGCAAAAAGGGCTTAATCTATAATAACCAGGAGACAATGCTAAGTGAAAACAAAGCAAGTGTTTTATGAAGAGGCAGGAGACAGGTCGTGGCAGCGCACATGAGCTTTCCTGTCCGCACAGCAGCCGAAGGAATGCACAAAAGCAGGGAGCTGGGAACAGAACAGAGGCTGGTGCTGAGCTAGGAGCACAGGCCACCACAGACATGGCAAAATGGAGAAACAGGTGAGTAGATATCTCGGAAATAAAACACAGGAAGAGCTTGAGAAGAACTGTGGACATGCACACAACCAAAACCTTTGGTTCTGGCAGTCCACACTTTGTCAGGACCCTCAACACATACCCAGATACTGGAGTAGCAAAGGTGCAACTTGGCTAGGATCAGGAAAGCAAGTTCCAGGGATGAGTTTGCTCAGGGAATCAGCTTGAGCAGAAGCATCATCAACGAGCTGGTCCAGTAAGTCCAAATCTGACTCTTGCCCTTTGTGAAAAATACAACTACAGAAGGTGAAGACAGAACTTACACAAGGTTCCTTAAATGGCA